GATAACTTGTATAATATCGCTGTGTAATAGCTGCATTACTCTGCATCGCAGGATTATGAGGATTATGGATTAGACAGCAGATTCAATTAAGCAACGTGATTGGTGAAAAACATCATTTTTAGTGTTGAGCTGAACTAGGCTAAAGCTGCTACACCTTACTGATTCCCTTACTTACTCAACGCAACACGCTGAGGAGAGGCCGCATATAAAGTACAACTGACCTGATAGAGAGGGATTAAGAATTTTAAAAACACAATTGAGATGTAGAGTGTGAAAAAGCAGAAGCAGTTCAGTTGCTGAAAGATGCCTGGTCACACCAAAACACTGCACAGCTAACCGTCAGGTCGCTAACAGGACAAAAAGTTCAGTTCCCTCAAAAAGCATATTTGTGCCATCGACTCCTGTCTTATTACAGTCTGATAACCCTTCATTTTTGTAAAGCAGTTTATATTTCAGCAGAAGAATGACACAGCTAATGAGCTTCCTCCATTTTGGACTCTCAACCTCTCCATTCTGTCGGCCCACTATTGGTCAACGATGCAAAACAGCAGGTCAGAGTTCACCAGAGATGAACTCAACACCCACACAGCAGAAGACATTGATTTGATTTTGTGGCCAGATTTCGCTGTTTTAATTGTTGGTTTAACCAGACCTTAATATTCAGTCACTTAAAAAAACTTCAAGTAGTACATAGGCAGTGATAAAATAGAACATAAAATGTTCCTTTATTTTGTGAAACATACGATCATATATAATAAATAATCATATATAATAGTTGCCCTCTCGGGTATTATTGCTCTAGAGCTGACAGTTGCTCATGATGTTGCACAAAGCCACAAAACTGTCAAACTGTATCCATAATCAAAGCCACAACATGAGACATCACTGCACTGCCAAAGCTGCCTTTTCCCTCAAAGGCAGCGCTTCCTAAAATTCTCTCACACCGCACTGCAGACACACAAAGCCACAGTGTAAGCATTGAAGAACTGAACAGTCTAGGTTATACCAGAAAAATTGCCTGGATATAGGGATATCATGTTCCATCCCTTTGTCACAGTCCCAATCCTAACCTCCTCAGAGGAAGCCTCCACTACCTAAATTTGTCTTCTTCTCTGCGCCTCCCTCATGAACAGAAAAAGAGATTGGATTCTATTTCAGTTCATGAGAGCAGCTTTTTAAGTGATCGTTTTCAGGACATAGATGCTGTATTCTACAGTAATTTATAAACACTGCACATGAACCATTGTGGTGAATGTACAGTATGTGTTAACAGTTGGAAAAACACATTATTGATGAAACACACACACACACACACACACACACACACACACACACACACACACACAAATTAATGCCTACATTATTGTTGACATTTACTTGAACAAATTGAATTAAATTAAATTATACAAAACCTGAGAAAATGTTTTTTTATACAGTAAAGAGGAAGTCCATGACGAACTGACATTTTGAAAAATAAACCACCAACTAATTTTAATCTTCCTATATAATCTCATACAGAGATTGCTAAAGGGGCTATTTGTAAGTTTTCTCTGCTGCTGATTGTGGTTTCTTGCTGGAAGTGGTGGTGGTGATTGTTGCTTGACAAGCGCTTTGGCCTTTGTTGTGCTTACAAGTCAAGAGGTTGTAATACATTCTCTGAGCAGCACTACATCTTCAGGGCAGATTGGAGGCTATAGTGAGTTGCTATTGGAAAGTAATGAGGCAGTCTGGGGCTAGCTGGTTAGCGTGCTAACTTAATAGAAGACATATGGTAACATGAGTTAACATTGCTGTTGCTTTCCACCACTGGAGACAGTTCTTGGCAAGTAAAAGAATGACGTTTAATGGTGAACTCGCAACATTTCTGCTAGACTGGTAAATTACCTGGTGTTAATGTTAATGCTGGCAAGCATCGCTGTAGCAATAGCAAAACTAACATATACCTCCCCTTTAACAACCCCACCAAGAAAAAAGCAATGGAAGAGTCAAAGTGTGCTAAACCATATGGTCGAGCAGGCACTACCAATATCATGGAAGTTCCATGAGTCACAATACCAAATCTGACACCACGCTGCACACACACACACACACACACACACACACACACACACACACACACACACACACACACACACACACACACACACACACACACACACCACTGTTTGGATTGGACTGTTTGCATACTAGCTTTTGGTTGTCTATGACTTGTCCCTGATGATCTGACTCAAATGCACCGACTCTTGCCACATTTCATATGTTGTTATTGTTACTGTTTACCTTCCTTCCTCTTTCCTCTTGCATTTGATGTCAGACTACAGCACTTGTAAGGTTATTATGCTGCCCTCTTCACTCCTGGAAGAATCACATCTCTACTACCTACGACATATATAGTACCTTGGGAACCTATGGTGTTGTAAAAACAAGTACGGTCACGTATTCAGAATTTTGGCATTGACGTGGTACTGAAGTATCAGTTCTCCTGACATCACTAATATGAACACTTAGTAAATGTTAATAACTCACTGTAATGTAGTTGTAAGCATGTGTAAGTGTTCATTTATGTATTTGTTAACAACTATAACTCCCACTGTGGGCACTTACAAAGTGAGGCTACTGTATAAACAGATTATGACAAATAAAATAAAGACAATATAGTACACAGTTAAGCACATTAATGAACACTTAAATGTTCACAGATAATGTCCTTATCTGCTGATAACTACTTATTTGTAAGTTATAAAGTATTTATTAAATATTTATATTCTACATAAAATGCTAATTAGGCAGACTAACAATTAAGTGTTACCCAGCTATTACAATTTCTCTGTTCAGTTCCTAAACAATCATAACTAAAGTTAAAGTCCTTTTTAATACAAGCATTTACAGGCACAATTAAACACTCAAAGATATTTAAAAAACCATGTAAATCTCACATTTAGCTGTCACTTACAGTAATGTTCTTACACCAAAAACTCAGACCATAAAATCAAGAATGAAGCACCCCCTACTGTTTTCTCAACAGTTAGGCTATGGTCAAAATATAATTTCAGAGTGGGTCTTTAAACGTGCCCTGATGATGTTTTACTCCTGCCATGAATATCAGGCTATTTTGCTGATCAGCAGTTGGTGCCATGTGACGTGTAAAGCAATGGAGCAGTGTGACCACAAAGATAGTCAAGAAAAAAAAACTCCAAGCAATAAAAATATTCAAATATGCTTTTTAACGTTTTACTTGGAAGGAAATGTATTCAGTTGTTAGAACCTAAAGGATGTGTTTCATTGAGTAACAATGAATGTAAACATTACTTTGGTTTGTTTACAAAGAAAAATCCACAGGGTACCCTTAAGCTACTTTTACTGCTAAAAAAACTATACTATATTTGTTAGATACAACCCCTTAAAAAAAATTATAATTGGTTGGGAGATTAACTTCTTCTGTGTATGCTAACAAGCATTTCCGACTCAGTTACCATAATACATACATCTTGTACAGCACCGTCTTGGTAGAACACCAACAAGTGTGTGTATTTCAGCGGAGGGCTTGGCTGAGGTCTTCGCATTGTGTCAGACTGTGGGCAGGGTGGTAGAGACGCCTCACACTGCTGGGAGGCTACATAATGAGTCCCACTGTGTATTTGCCTCTTTATATCTCGACACTGGCTGTGGGGCCTGATGATGCTTTTTTTTTTTAATGTGCTTGTTCATTTGTGAACAGGAGACGTGTGGAAAAAAATGTGAACAATATGGTAATGTGTTCACTTAACCTCCAGTTGGTGTATATACGTATCATTGTGTCTCACTCATCTGTTCCCCTTTTCCACCTAGGTTGGCAGGTTATTTGGTCTTTGGCATCTGTGTGTCAACGTGTTTCTCATCTATGAGTGAAGCAGAGCTTTAAGATCGATTTACTCTTAATTTAATTTTTTCACCCATGACTACTACTTATTTCTTCATAATGTGAAATGCACTGACTCCCTGCTGACTGAGCCCCGTAGCTATATGTACCCATGTCACATTGCATTTCAGCAGCTACATGTTTATCACACCAATCCAGGTTAATTCTAGTGGACACACAGGTGTGTTCTCGGTCCCTTAGGTCTTGCAGGACACTGGTCAAACTGAACACCCTATTCCGCCTGTCCAATCCCTTAAATCCTTTGGAGTGCTTTGTGCCGTTGGCTGTGCCAGTTGAGAGTGAAAATCCTGTAGCTAATGCAGTAGCACTGTAGCACCTAATATCCCTGTGTGAGGCCAGTGTGGGTGATTTATTATTATCTAATGATGAATTTTACTAGAGTTGGGTATTGAGGCCAAGGTCAGTGGATCAAATGGGATTTGTGGTTGGTAAATTGTCAGTCTGAGTGAGGCATCCAGCCCAATCCTTTGGTGTGATGATACAAGTGTACAAACACCATAGGAATACCGACATGCTTTCTCTTTCTCTCTTTTAACACAAACACACTACAGGTATCCAAGCTTGGGCTGAATGGATAATAAGCCTCAACTGGGCCTTTCATTGAAAAACACCAAAATCCCGAAACCCCCTAAAAGATATGTACAACACCTGGAGGAAAATCTCTTCGTAAACTGATATAAATTCATGCAGTTATGGATGATGCCACAAGCAGAAAAATTTTTGGCTGGACCAGCCACAGGCCACACTATGTCTGCAAATGTCCGCCCATCAAATATTGAAGTTTATAAATAATTGCTTTGGCACACCTTGCCAAGTAGCGCCATCCATGGTAGTGAAAGGGGAATTCAATTCTGGCATGTTAAATTAGCATTCAACGTTTTGCCCTGTTAAAGTTACTGCATTAATACAGTACAACACTTCCTGGAACCATTTCAAATTAAAAGCCCTTCTCCTTTTGTGTTGTCCTGTATGATCGCCATCCCAATGTGAAAGAAATTCTGCCCTCAATTTATCCGATCTAGAAATCCAGTCTGGTCAAATGCAATTGCTTTTCATCCTACTCATGCATTTTCTCCCTTACCTCATACTCCACATACTCCTCCTCCTCCACCTCGTAGGAAACCGTTTGGATTTTGATGTGTTCGCCGTCCTCCAGCAGCTTCGCCTGAGGATCCTCTGTGCCAGGCGTGTCTGCCCCTGCTGTGTTGGACGCCTCCTTTGCCTTCTTCTCCGTGAAGGTGGTCTCACAGCATTCGCTTTTGTATTCCTTAGCCTTAATGCTGCCGCTGTCCTCCTTGTATAGGATGAAGTTGGGCCTGTAGAAGGCCTCTACTGCCAGATGCAGCGAGGTGGCGTCCAAAAGTTGCTGAGATTTCACCTTCCCGTTGGTATTGTAACCTCCTCCGCTCACTACGTTGCTGTTATTCACCTTTCCTCCTCCTCCTCCTCCTCCTCCTCCTCCCTCACCTCCACCACCACCTCCTCCTCCAGCAAAATAATTAATAATGTTTTCCTGGTACTGGTTATTAGGGAAGTCTCCCCCATAACCGTTGACCATGTGCTTACTGTTTTTGTCCAATAACGGGTTCTGGAGCTCACTGAGGTTCTCCATAGCAACAGAGGTCAAAAGGTGAGCAGGAGGAGCTTCTCTGTGCTTTTAGCTCTAGCGAGGAAATGGAAGACTGTTGGTTGATATATGCTCCTCAGTGACGTGCGTCGATGTCAGTAAAGATGTTAATGGCATTCAGAATTCAGCACTCTGAGACCTACAGAGGAAACAAACAGCAACAGAGAGCGGGAATTTTTTAGATTCAAACTTAGAAGGAGAATTTTATTTGACATCTACAGCTGGTAACAGTTGGATGACAATTTGCCAAATACTAACTGAAATAAATTCAGCCGTCGCTCCCTCAGCAGCAACAGCTTTAACAGCATCTCACTTGTCAAGAGCTGCACATTGCAGATGATTCAATTACGTTTAATTTCCATCCTTACTCCAGACATATATAGTAAGCTTACACAGACGTGCACATATCTCAGCGTGGTAACAGCAACATCTCGAAGTACTGCCCTCTACTTAAAATATCTCAGATAGCGAAGGATCATATCCTTCGCTATCTGTGTGTGTGTGTGTGTGTGTGTGTGTGTGTGTGTTTGTATTTTCTCTGTGCACCTAATTAGATCCATTGCTCCATTGTTAAGGTCTCATTTGGTGTCATCAGCCTCTGTCTGATATGGATCAGTTGAGGCCTCCTATACGTACACAGCTTAGACGGCTCTAATCTGCCACATCTGTGGAAATATATGGCTGGCATTTATGCTGAAATTACTTTGACATTGGTGGCAAATTTTCTTTCATTTATTCATTCAACACATGAATGTGTGATAATAAGCTGAAGATGAAAACTGTATTATAATCATTAATGATGAGTTAACTAAGAATGCCATGTCTGCGCCATTCCTGTGGAATTAAAGGAATACCATTTGGGATATTAAAAGAAACTGAATACCTAATAATGTAAATGAATCAGTACTGTGTCACCTCCATTCAGGCTTGATTGCTTGTCCTTGGTATCCCAGATATTGGAAGTAAAGTTTTGATGGTTTTCAAAATAAAACATTTCAGTGCTATGAATTCAGTGGTATCTAAATTTCAATGTTAAGCATTCAGTAGTATTATATAACCCTAACCACAACCCCCACCCCCCTAAAATAAAATGACCAGAACTGTGGCTGTTTGGCATAAAGCCGTCGAGTCAGTGTCCTGACATTTCACCATAAATATAAAACAGAGCTGCACAACCATTAAAATAGACTGGACAGCCTTTAGAACTTGCATAAGTTCATTGAAAATTGATCAGTATCTTAAAACATATAATAATGATGCCAGCCATGCAGTGGAATGCTAAAATTTGCTTTTGCTGTTGCTTCCACAGAGGACAGACAAAAATGTCACCTTCTCTACATTTAACCATCAAAACGATATTGCCACTTCCCCTCAGTAAAAATAGCCCAGAGTTCTCTGCTGCTCAGTTGCCACCCATAACCTTTGTCTGATTAATCTGCGTTTAAAATAGAAATGCCAAAAGCAGATTATTTCTCAGGGTCCTGACCCCAATCGTGTATGGCTGTCTTACTGCAGTATTTCCACACCCATAAAGAGAATGTATTTCCATTCGAAGACAACAAGATTACACATAATGCAAAATGGCATTGTGGCGATGGGATATGGATAATACCTTGTTGGTTCACAGGTTAATAAATTGCACACTAATCGTCTCATAAATTATTTGATATTTCCTTCCTGTCCTTCGGTAAATCATGGTTCAAAACGTGCACTGATTCGTAATCTGCAAACAAGATTTTAATTGTTATTTTTGCTTAGCCTTTTATACTCTGTACTATACATTCATTTAAACATCCAGTATATGGCACATGACATTAAGACATGTAAGATATTTAGACTGGAACGGTACAGTGCGGACAGTCTCCCATTGGGCAGGACGTAGAAGATATAGAGGTCCCCCTGCGTCACTGTCCTGAGGGGGACACTGACTGATCCTCAGTGTGTTCTCATTCCTAATCTTTATCCATTCACCCATGCTCTGTCCTGTAAAGTTTTCACACATAACCCTCTGTTTTAATCTTTCATTTACTGTGTAATCATCACTTTCTTCTCAGATTCCCTTACTCCATTTTTTTTCCTCTCTGAAAGTTAGTTTGTCTTCCTCATTTCCTGCAAAGTAGTTTTTTTTTTTTTTTTTTTGTTTGCTATACTTTTCATGTTTTCTGCCCCATGAATAAAATACAAGCCACATGCTCCCAGGCTTCCTGAAGCGCAGTAAGCACCGGACAGCCGGCAACGTTTTCATGGTTCTTCCCCGTTGGACCTCCTGCTCCTGAATGTGCTGACATCGTTGTTCCATGCCAGTGCCCTCTTTGGTCCACATATAGCTCCAGGGAACGCACACCCATGCAGTTCTTGAGTCAGTTGACTAAAAGTGTGACTATCAAGGCTGTGAGCAGATTCCTGTGCAAAACTGAAGATGAGCAGGTGCTTAGGTTGCTATCTGCTCTGGATGCTGCTGTCACGTGTTATAGATTGCTGCTTCTCTGCGGAAAGATAATCTCTGACCCAGGTTCAAACCCCACAGTGGCATCTACCATGTTTAAGTGTCCTTCAGTAAAAATATTACATCCCTGACAACTCCAGGGATGATAATTTGTTGCTGAAAATTTGCTGTGACGAAAAATTTGACGAATAATCAAAACTGATTTTATTGGCCATGACCTGCAACTCATTTTTAAAATTTGTACTGCTTTCTATTTATGGATTTTAACAGGACAAGTCTGACATGACACACCCTTGTGACCCTTTGTTTTTTTTAAATGTCAGAATGCATTTACTTTTCATATCAAAGCATAGCCACTTAAGATCCAAGGGGCTACAAATAGCGTTCAACATCAATAAATCACTACTGCATTAATACTGAAGCACTGCTGTGATTACCATAATCACATGAAGCAGTCTGCAAGAGGAAAATTTACTCCGACTGGCGTCTCGTCTGCTGTTTAGATTTGATGGTGGAATTCTGCTGCTCAAAGAGATAGTGCCAAACAACACGTATCAGGATGCTGCTCCTTCCAAAAAAAGATTTCCGAGTTTCTCACAATGGCAGATGGTGGAACCTCGGACAAAAATGTTCATTTTATTTTTCCCTTCGTTAAGGTTTTCCAAACAGACCAGTCCAACAGGTGCTGCAAACAGGTCGATGCTGATAAATTCACTCTTCGACAGGGTCTGAGGTTACAGATACAATGGGCTGTCATATAGCTATAATAAGTGTTGTTCTAAGTGTTTCCTTGTTTCGAACACTGTGAAACTCCTACTCCGCGGCAGCGCTACAAGCTGACAGTGGATTACTTTTCGTGTCATTACTTCGGGATGCTCTGAGAAATCTTTTTGGTGTTGTCATTCTTCCAAATTCATTGCTGCTGTGTTGTTTGGTGCAGAGAGGAGCTTTATTTTTTCAGTAAATGGGAATTTAAGTGTGAATAAGCTATTTCAGGGCAAGCTGAGCAATGTAGGACACCTCATAATCAGTGCAGATGAATGTTATAGAAATAGCCATGGTTCTGTGTGTGTGTGTGTGCGTGTGTGCGTGTGAGTGTGTGCGTGCGTGTGAGTGAGTGTGTGCATGTGTGTAGGAGTTTGTGTTTTGCCCATGTACGGCTGTGAGTAAATACATGTGTGTATGAGTGGGTGGATGTGTTTGTTAGAGAGTGAGAGAGTAACAAAGAGATGGAGTGAGAAGAGGGGAAAGAAAGAGAGAGATCATACTTATATGTGATTCTCTGGTTGAGTGCATTTGGGCATGTTGGTAGACAGCAGCGGCTGGGAGGTATAAAGAGCTGGGAGGTACAGCTGAAAGCGAATGAGGCAGAGCAAACGCTGTTGCGAGGAAAACAATTCAGCATGACAGAGATGGCACAAGCACAGGCCCGTGTGCTGCAGTGCCGCTGTGCAGGAGAGCCCGGAGGTGTCTGACAAGGGGCTAATAGATTAGCGAACAACCTGTAAGCATCCAGGTGCGGGGCGGGGTGGGGGTGGGGAGGTAAGAATGAGGCCGTGGCACTGCTAACATGCCAGCCACGCCGATACGTCTGTATGCTTCAACCCCATTAGACTACCGTCAGCACACTCTATTTCCCTGTGTCAGCCCATTGCCAATCAACCTCAGACCTCTGACCCTGAAGCCGAGAGCGGGTATTATCAGCCAGGCCTTGAGGCCAGCGCGGCGAGATGCAGCAGAATACCAATGTGTCTTATCTGTCGGCCATGTTTACCAACCTATTTCATCCAGACTGTGTCTCTCACAGCTTTTCCTGGATACCGCATGTGGAGATCTGCTCACTGTGCTCGACAACAACAACTTCATCTTTCTGTAATTTCATTTTGGAGGCAGTGGCTGGCGTGTAATATGCATAATAAGGTAACACCAGGTAGTTATTGATGATCACAGAACGGGACAATGCACGAGAGCTCATTGCCCGAAATGCAAATGCATCCTAAAGCACATTTGTCAGTGAACTGTACCCCTGGCCTCGGCACATGAAAGTCCACTGACAGATTAAGCAACAGAAAAGGATGAAGTGAGTAATGGGCTTAACACAGTGTTGACTGATCCTTTTATGAAGCATTATCATCAAAGGAGACTGTGTAAAAATGTCGTAATCCACATGAAATTAATCTGAATCCTACTCCTGTGTCAGCAGCCACTGCTGATAGTCTGTCCCCTCCGTCTACTCGTCTATCTGAGGAGCTGATAAAACATTAAACACTTAGCAAGGAACCTTCCACAGAGGAGTCAGGACTCCTCTGGAGCCTTGTACCATTACAGTTGTATCACTTGGCTTAGTGTTTTCCACACCTCCGGCACATGATTTAAAGTGTTCCTTGATGTGTAAATCCGCTATTGAAAATCTCCGCCACATGTTTTTGAATTATTAAATGGGAGGTTGCTGTCAATAGCATCCATGTACACTCTAACAACAAACAACAAGCCACCCCAGCCATGATGCTCGACTGGTTTGTTATTAGTGAGAGGCAGGCTCCGGCTAAGTTGTCTTCATTGCCTATTGATTGTGATCTCCAGTTGCTGATAGCAAGACAGCAGAATGTAGATTGTGTTCTGGCTTCTGAAACAGCTATAGATAGATAGATAATCAGACTACAAGGGGAAATAAATGTGCAGTGGATTAAGATTTGAAAACCTGCCACTTTTTAGACTGAGGTTTCTCATTTCTACTGCAGTTCAAGCAGCGATCAGACCTGACATCATTTGTACTGTCCCAGTTGTTGTAGGCACCAGGAGTAGATCAGAGGGAAAAGGTGTGTGTGTGTGTGTGTGTTTGTGTGTGTGTGTGTGTGTGTGTGTGTGTGTGTGTGTGTGTGAGAGAGAGAGAGTGTGTGTTTTATTTATTTATTGCCTAACCACTTAAATCTTTGAAGAAACAATTATCCTTAATTACCACCTTAAAAAAATGTCTTATTGCATGCATACAAAATTAAGTTGACAACAAAATGTCCAGACTGCAGACACTGAACCACTCCTTTACTGCTCTCTGTTATCTTTTTTTCTTGGCTTTCTTTGTTTACAGGATGAAAAATATTCTTGAATTCACTCTGTACCCCAAGTGCCATGAGTAATCTTCACACAGAAAAAATACACTATTACAGTTCAGAGTGACTTCATGCCAAACCCATATCTCAGTCACAACACACACACATAAGGAGGATTTATGCCCCAGCAGTCGCAGGTGGGAACTGAGTGCAGAGTTCTTTATCAACAGCATCCTCCACCTCCCCATCACAATAGACACAATGTATTGCGATGCGTCACATTCACCACTTATTCCTAATTATGACATGAGATGTGAACAGGTGCGTTCCTGTTAACAAAAAATAAACGCGTAAAGACAGTTTACTCCCCAGTAGGAGAAAAAAATATGATCACATGTTTGACAGCTTTGAAATAGAGCAAAGCGCGTGCTATAAAAAAAAAAGGCAAACTGTGAACAAAACTAAAAAAAAGAAGAAAAATCAGGAAAGGTGCTGTGATTATTTCTTACCTCTGAGTTCTTGACAATCCAAATATTGTCTGGAAGCTGCGAACACTCGCTGGTTCCCGCCTGTACATTATGGCTGGGATGCTGCTGACGGTGTCGCCCAGAGAAAAAGACATTTCTCTGACTTTCTCATTTGAAGAAATAGCCAATCACTTCTGGCGAACAGGTCTCCGCTAGGCAAGTCGCCGCCGTCACAGCCTCGTAATCTCTCTCCTCTATAAATACGAAGGTCTCGCTCCCCAATAAACCGTTTACCTTGAGAGTCGACTGGAATGTTTTCGCCCTCGGAAAGTTGAAACACCTTCTGTGTGTGTGTGTGTGTGTGTGTGTGTGTGTGTGTGTGTGTGTGTGTGTGTGTGTGTGTGTGTGTGTGTGTGTGTGTGCGTGTGTGTATGAGAGAGCCAGGAGAGAGAGAGAGAGAGAGAGTCCTGGTGCGGGGAGGTTCAGTGACGCGTATGGAGACTGGAGCCCAGTACACTTCGCAATGCGCGCACCCTCCCTACATGCATGCGTTTACTTTGACTTCAAATGCGTGAACGAGGTTAATCTTTTCTTAGAGCAGATGATGTTTTTTTTTCTTTCTTTTTTTTTTCTTTTTTCTTTTTTGCTGCAAATCATCAGCAGGCAGGAGTATCCAGTTTTCAGATATTGCAACCCATAGTGCAGGAATTTTGTGACTGTATCATACTGTAGAATAAAAAATTCAATGCAAGTGATAGTAATGTATAAACAAATACTTCATAGTCGTCATTAAACTGAGCAGTGGCGGGGATATGATTGTGGGTGTACTGTCATCTCATGAGTTTAAAGTGTTTCAGGGCAGATAGCAGCTAAAAAAGGTCCCTTTCTTAAACAGCCACTACAATTACCCTGAGTGGACCAGTGATGTCTGTAGTAAGCCTACTGATTTGATTAGTTCAAATAGAAGAGAAGGCACTCAAATTAGTCACTTTAATTTGTTCAATTTCAAAATGGAGCTGAAGAACCAAAACTAATGAATGGACTTTAAAGGTCCCAATCATCTATATTCTGACTTAGCTTCCTGTTATCAGCTGCAGGGTCCTGCATCATCAGACAGTTTCCTGCCAAAGTTACAACAGGATTTGTTTTGTTTTTTTTTTTGTTTTTGTTTTTTTTACTGGTTAAAGTGCCCTGATCTCGGTTGGATATTAGTGATGTCACTCACCTCCATGCACCAATCAGATTTTAGCAACATTTTCATCAGAGTTGGTGGGTTGTTGTCAAACCATATCAACACATGACGAAGCAGATCAGTTTGTGCCGCGCTGACTCTGGTGGGCCCGTTTGCCCGCTTGTCTCTGTCAGCTCCAGGCATTGACTCCTTCTTCTCTTTATCTGGGGAGGTGTCTGGGCTACTATGTAGATTTAAAAAAAAAAAAAAGTTTAAATCTCCTGCATCTTAAAGCAGTAGTTTTACATTATGGAAAATGCACTTATTTCCTTTCTTGCTGAGAGTTAGATATGAAGATAAACACCACTCACATGTCTATGGTAACCGGGCGTTGATGAGCTGTGGACGGCTCCAGCTCCATAGTTAATTAGAGCATTGTCATTCTTCTCATTGTTGTTGAATGTTGAACTATTCTTCTTCGATATTAAATAATCAATACAGGGATATATACCAAACACCCACCTGTTGGACACACTCTGCGTCGTCACTAGCATCCCTTTTTCTTTGATTTGGACTGGTAATGATGTCGCTCTGGAGGAAGGGATAGTCCTTGCTTCTCAGCCCAGCAGGCTCGTCCTTGTTGGGAACTCTGGGCATATAGCTGTTAGTGGCCTCCTCAGTCAGACATGTGTTCAGGGTCGCCTGAGTCCACATCTTCCCCACTGTCACAGCTCATCACCTCTACACGCGATTTCGCACTGAAAGACAACCAATCGCTAAGCCAAACAAAAAACACCAACATTGTGTTATGTTTCATGTTGTGAATTTGCACTTATATTATTCAAACATATGGATTAAGTAACTCTATCTTGAAATGAGAGTCACTGTTGGTCTCATTAAAAGATCTTAATCCAATCAGTGACCACGCACTGACTCCCTCTATTCTAACTCAATGCACAGATTAGAAAAATAGTATTCATACAAATCATTGTGGCTGAGATGGACATGTTTGTTGTGTTGTAATAGTGTAATATTGTGTAATGCTGACCATGTCATATTCATCATTGCTGGGGAATAGTGGAATGCCTATAAACATTTCAGGAGCTATGCAGCCGATAGACCATACATCAATCACTTCACTGAAGGAAGGCCCCTGTAGGATTTCTGGAGATCTTAGAGGAAGAAGAAAAGAAGCGCCATCATATCACTGAGGTTATAAAGACTAACTAATATAAGCCTGACGAAAAAGCTGAGATGCCAGTGTACAGGACATTCTCTCTGACACAGCTGTCCCAGATGTTCAGATGTTACTTACCTGTACCACAGGATCTGAAGAGTCACACCCGTCAGTTCCTCAGGATTGTTCCGGGCTAAACCAAAGTCACTGACTTTCACTCTCAATGGCTGCCCCTAAATGGTCCACCATCATTATATTTTCAGGCTTTGAGTCTGCATGAAGGATCCCTACAGTCTTCAGAAACTCCAGGGTAGTAGCAAGCTGAAATCATCAAATCATGAACAGTTAAAATCAACTGTACTGCAGTAACCCTGCAGTACAGTTCTCATCAACGAAAACTATGGCAAAACATGTTTGTTGATGGATGTTTTTCCAGAATGAGAATACAGAGATAACAAAAACGAATACATACATTTGTACACAACTAAATATGCAACAAAATATATGACAGTTTCTGTCAAATATTCCAAACTTGTACAGTCAAATATTTTACTATATTATATTTATTTATTTACTGTAAACACTGTAAACTAATTAAAATACATAAAAAAATGAAACTACTTGTAACACACATGGAAATATCCTGTTCTCTACCCTTCCCCTCACAATCTGAAAGATTCCTGCTTTTGATGTATTCATGATCACATCCCTGATCACCAATAAGCACACAAACATACAGTATATATGTATATTACTTGTATATCATTTAGTATTTCATATAAATTTAACATACATATTAACATATTAATATTCAGATAAAACTTAAGAAGTAACAAAGTAAGTAACAAAACAGTAATATAGAAGCTGAAAAAAAGGAATCTGCTCATTGTGTTACGGATATACTGTATCTGCTTTTTTTTATATGTGTCTGTTTAAACTTTTACATCTAAAAACAATCTAAAAACAATCTACCATTATTAAATACTGGGCCACCAAAACGTGATTTTCTATCTATATTGCAAACAAATATGCTTGAAACGTTCACTTTAAGAGACTTGTTCCTGCTGGAACAAGTGTAGTGGAAAATTTGATTAACTTATCACAGGGTAACTCCAGGTCACGTGATGTCAGTGATGTTTTGTATTGAATGTCAGTAAATAATAACTGTTTCTCTGCAAAATGGTTCAATTTGTCCAATTTCTAACAGGCTCCATATGTAATTTTGATATAAGCTATATATACAAACATGGACATATATGATTTTACTTCATATGTACATATATTTCAGAGTTAATTTGTGTGCACAGATTTTGAGTTTTCTGTGCACTTTAGATGTATCACCTTTGGAATTCAATTGAGGCCGGACATTATTGTGCAAGATCACAATTGAAGAGAATAAAATTCCACTAATATTTGTAAAAGAATGTTGAGTGATAGAGAATTCGATTAACACTGTTTGGACATTAAAACTGAGGAGTACAGTTTTCAGTTTCAGCAGTCTGCTGAAGGACTGTACTCCATAAATGTAGTGTCATTTTCACTGGTGCAATTTTACTGGTGTTTTTATATTTAGAAATGTGACACAATTATAAAAGGCGAGCTCAGACATCAGTGCAGTGTTATGAAGATGAAGTTAATGTAGATGAAAACATGTCCTAATATTGTGACTCTATTGAATGTTAATACATGTGTAAAAATATATAGGTTGTGATTCACGGGCTATAACTCTTTAAAAGGCATGGTTAATGTTCCTCCTGTTAAATGAAGGTCATTATTTAAAGTTCAGGCAGCCTCCATGGGGTTAATGTGTAGTTCAAGAAGCTCATTTAAGTGAATGGACTCTAAAGGTAGCCATGCACCAGGTCTGAAATCCCATATCATTATCTGGGATCTTTTTTAAAAAAGCACATAGTTGGAATCCTGACCACAATCTTGTCGTTTTGATCTTTAACGACAAAGCGCCTATGTTCTCAGTGAAGGATCTGCAGTATCAATTCCTCCTTCCTTTCATGTACAATATATTGAGAGTTTGGCATTTGAACCTGTGGGCTACACAAGGGGGAAAAAAAGGTCAACAAATAGCCGAGAAGTGAGAGGATCAAAAAATAGTCTTGCAGCCGCACTGATTATTGCTGAGGATGACCAAGGAGAGGACAACAAGGGCGAGAGCAAAGGGAGGTGGCTCTTGCAGGTTGTGTAATAGCCTGAGTGTTCTCAAACACTGATCACACCTCCATTTCTTACCCTGCAGTGGTGCCTGCTATTTCTGTTTCTCACTCTCTCAGTATTTCTGTTATTTCCAGAATTGTCATCCACTGTCTTCTTTTTTTTTTCTCCCCCTCTAACTCAATATCACTGCAATCATATCTGACAAATAGATTCAGATCCACTGACCAGCTGCTCTCAGGACCTCATCAGAAACCTATCAATCATATATATCATACACAGCGTCTCTTCCTTCCTTCATTCTTCCTATTTCAATCCCACCTTGACCACTGAACTGCTGTCACGCCACAGAATTCAGCCATATCCTCCTCTGCTTGTTGGAAGTGGTCATTCAGCTTGGCGCCATACCCACAGGCATGCCTTGCATTGCAGATCAGCTGCAAGATCCAATTTGTTTGTGTTGAAATGACTCCAATTCCTTTGCCACAGAACATTAGGACTGTAAATTAATATCCCTGGGCTCTGCGGCTCACAGGTCTGTTTCCAGACAGGAGACAGGCACACAGGGATAATGGCAGCTGCACGGAGAGAATTCTTTAAGACCTGAGGTACATTGTCTTTATAAACCCTTGGTCTCCCCTCCCACCTATTCTCTTGCTTTTCCCCTCATGGTTTCATCTGTCACCTTTAGAGACCTTCTCTCATATGAGTTTAGAAGGTAGAGGGCTCATCAGCAGTGTCGTGCTCAGAGTTACAACATCTACAGTCACTCTTACCTCTCCGCTGTCACTCACA